ATGGAGACGAAGAGATTCAGATGAGTAACGAGGTTCGATCTAAAGTGATTGGAAAGAGAAATGTGGACATCTTCACTTTCGAGAAAATCATTACTTTAATAAATGTACTACATGTTCCTGATATGAATAGGAACTTAGTAAGTTGAATTCTCTTAGGAAAATCGGGCATTAAAAGTGTATTTTAATCCGGTAAACTTGTATTATCCCTTAACATAAAATTTTGTTGAAAAAGGCTATTCCGGTGAAGGAATGGTCAAATTGTGTACTATTGACAAGTTGAATAATAATAAAACTACTTTTACGTATGTTGTTGATTCATTTTCTTTATGCATGCTAGATTAGGTCACATAGCTAAAAGCATTGTGAAACATATGATGAAATGTGACTTGATTTCCTATGATGAAAATAATGCACATAAATGTCAGACAAGCAAAGAATCGAAAACGGTTAAAAAGCCTAATCAAAGTGTAAATAGGACCTCTAGCATCTTGGAATTAATTCGTATAGATATTTGTAAATTAAATGGTATGTTGACTAGAGGTGAAAATTTGTACCTCATTACATTTATTGATATCACTCAAGGTACACATATTTTTACTTGATAAAGTATAAACATGAGACTTTTGACATGTTTAATAAGGTATATAAGAATGAAGTTGAAAATAATTAAGGAAAGAAAATAAAGACCTTAAGAAGTGATAGAGATGGTAAATACTTTTCCAGCGAATTTAACTTGTTTTGTGAACAACATTGCATAATTCACCAATGTTCTATACTTAGGACACCCGAACAAATAGTTTGGTTGAAAAGATAAACAGAACCTTAGTTGAAATGATCAATGCCATGCTAATCTATGCTAAGTAGCCATTTAACTTGTGGGGTGAAGCCTTGTTGAGTGCATATAGTATATTTAATAGGATTCCTTCAAAACATACAAATGCTTCTCCTTATGAATTGTGGAAAGTAAGAAAATCGAACATTAGATACTTCAAAGTGTGAGAGTGTCTTCTTATTGTAAGAACACAAATCCTAATATGACTAAATTAGGTTCTAGAGGCATTAAATGTACCTTTCTTGGATATGCTAACAATAACAAATCTTATACGTTGTTAAATCTGGAGACCAATGTGATTATTGAATCCAATGATGTAGAGTTTTTTGAGAAGATAATGAATTGAGGAAAAATATTTTAGATATCCCTAGCTCAAGTAAAACAAAAGACAAGACATCTTCGAAACATGTTGATGAGTCCAGTGAGCCACGAAGAAGCAAGAGAACTCGGGTTGATGAGTCTTTAAGACTGGATGAAATTGATTCTCAACTTATCTTCTTTTACTTAATAGAAGGAAATTAGGTGAATGTTGTAAGAACAATTTCTTTTGCTCTACAAGTGAAAATCAATCCTAAAACTTATAGAGATGTTATAGCTTCTCATGATAGTAGCTTTTGGAAAGATGCAATTAAGGTTGAAATGGATTCGACAATATCTAATAATACTTGAGAACTTGTCGATTTGCCACTTGATCCAAACCTATTGGATGTAAATGGGTGTTTAGAAGAAAGTACAATGTTGACGGCTCTCTCAATACCTTTAAGGCTGGATTAGTAGCCAAATGTTATCGACAAAAGGAAGAAATTGACTATTTTGACATTTTTGCACCGGTAGCTAGAATAACATTGATTAGATATTATTCGCATTAGTTTTGATACATTACTTGCAAGTTCATCAAATGGATGTCAAGTCAGCATTCTTGAATGGAGATCTCGATGAGGAGGTCTACATAGAACAATTCGAAAGGTTTGCTTTACCTAAAAATGAACATAAGGTGTGCAAGTTAGTGGAATCGTTATACGATTTGAAGCAGACACCTAAGAAATGGCACGAGAAATTTGACTTGGCAATTTTATTATTTGGTTTTAAACATAATAGCATAGATAAATGTTTATACTCTAAAGTTTGTGACAATCATGTGATATTTATTTTCTTGTATGTTGATTATGAGTAATCAAATGGATGGAATAGAAGAAACAAAGAGGTTTCTATCTTCCACATTCAAGATGAATAATCTTGGACAAGTGGATACTATCTTAGATATCAAAATCACAAAGACTAGTGGGTTTATCGTCTAAGTCAATCACATTATATCGAGAATGTGATAAACAAATTCAAACATTTGAACGTAAAAGAGTATAGTACCCTGATTGATCCAAGTTCAAAGCTTGTGAAAAATGATGGAAGGGCAATTGCTCAATTGGAATATGCAAGTGCTATTGGTAGTCTTATGTATGCAGTTCAATGCACAAGATAAGACATAGCCGATGTAATAAGTTAACTTAGTAGATTTACTAGCAATCTGAGCACTGATCATTGGAAGGCCATTGGGAGAGTCCTTGGATATTTAAAGAAAACCAAAAACTTAGGTCTACAATATACTAAACTCTCAGCTATATTAGAAGGATTTATCGACGCTAGTTGAATATCTAGCACGAGTGAAAGTAAATCTACTTCAGGTTACGTGTTAACTATAGGAGGATGTGTTGTTTTTGGAAATAAAAGAAATAAACATGTAAAACACACTCGATAATGGAATCCAAATTTGTAGCACTATCGAAAATCGGGAAAGAGACTGAGTGGCTTAAAGATCTCTTTTATGAGATACCTTTGGGAACAAAGAACGTCTCTTCAATACCTATCTTGTCCAATAGTCAAGCTACATTAGCAAAATCATATAATGAGATATACAATGGAAAGTCTAGACATATGAGTTTTAGCATATGACTACATAAGGAAATTAATCAAGCATGGAATAATTTTCTTAAATTATGTAAGATCAATTAGGAATTTGGCCAATCCTTTGACTGAACCTCTAAATATAGATTTAATAGTGTCTACTTCAAGTAGGATGTGGTTGAAGCTCCTAAACTAAAAGGTCCACCAATGAGACAACCCTACTTATTATTACTCAAAAGGTAATCTACGAGTTTAAAGGATAACAACAAGTCATTCGATATGTATATAATTTCAACATTATTAAAATCTGCAATAACCATATCCTTATCAGTAATGCTTATTGTTACTAAAATGAGGGTTGAGCAATAAGCTCTTAATGGAGTTCAGTGTTAAGTACAAATTCTCTAAAAGTAACAAAGATACTGGAAGAACATCACCTAAACAAACTTCGAGGTAATACCGGCTTAATAGAAAGTTGGAGTTTCTCTTTTAAAAGTTTGTTGAAAATGATAAGCGCAAGACCATATTAGTGCTAAGTGAGTTTGAGGAACTTGAAAACACGTGACACTTTTGTGTGCGTGTGTTCACGCTACCTTTGATTCTGATTTTAATTTGTTTGAATTACACTATAGTTAGATTCAAATCGAAAGATATTTAATCCTTATGCATAAGTATTGTATATTTTGAATATGACCTTATTGAATGTTGAACAAGTGGGAATTGTTGTATATTGTTCAAAATCAATAAGGGGAGAGTGGAAGTAAAAATGCAATTTGATGGCCAAAATTTGGCCTATGCAACTGCATAGACCAGAACTGGCTGGCATGATTTTGTTCTATGCAACTGCATAGACTTGCTATATGCAGTCGCATAGAAAAAAAAATGTGGCCATTTGGTGACCTTTTTTATCGTTGCAGTTTTGAATTTGGTGGCCTTTCATTCATTTTTTTGCACCATTTCGTGCATCTGGACGATGTTTATTTATATGGAATCAATGTTCAAGACATAATGTATGAAAAAAAAAAATCAATTAAGATCCATACATAATTCCAAAATTAAATATCAAAGTCTTATTATTCTTCATATTCAATTTCCTTCATTGCATTCTTCGAGTTTGGATAGAAAACACTTGTACTTTGGTGTTTTTTTGCAATGAGGCTTGATTAATCCTACAAACCATTCGTTGAAAAACCCTTGAAGCATCTCATACAATTTGGAGAGGAGACAAATATCGTTTAAAGACAACGATATTGTATTCGGGCATTAACAAGCTTCTTGTTTTCTTATATTGTTGCTAGTTTTCTCTTGTGAGTTTATCTTTGTTTCATCTCCTTCCTTCCAAAGTTTCCAACAACATGCACCTCTCACATGTTATTCTAAGGTAATTTAGACAAAAATCATACTACGAGTGTAATGAAAGCGGGAGATTGGAGACTAAAATGTTAATTGAGATGAAAAAGATTGAAGAACTTCATTGCTATTTTCCAATTACCACAAACCTTTTGGCCACAAAGAAATTGGGCAAAATTGACCAAAATGTTTGGCCATAGTCTTTCACTAGCAGTATTTACCGTTAAAAAATGGACGAATTTAATAAAGCAATTCTTCGAGTTTGGATAGAAAACACTTGTACTTTGGTGTTTTTTTGCAATGAGGCTTGATTAATCCTACAAACCATTCGTTGAAAAACCCTTGAAGCATCTCATACAATTTGGAGAGGAGACAAATATCGTTTAAAGACAACGATATTGTATTCGGGCATTAACAAGCTTCTTGTTTTCTTATATTGTTGCTAGTTTTCTCTTGTGAGTTTATCTTTGTTTCATCTCCTTCCTTCCAAAGTTTCCAACAACATGCACCTCTCACATGTTATTCTAAGGTAATTTAGACAAAAATCATACTACGAGTGTAATGAAAGCGGGAGATTGGAGACTAAAATGTTAATTGAGATGAAAAAGATTGAAGAACTTCATTGCTATTTTCCAATTACCACAAACCTTTTGGCCACAAAGAAATTGGGCAAAATTGACCAAAATGTTTGGCCATAGTCTTTCACTAGCAGTATTTACCGTTAAAAAATGGACGAATTTAATAAAGCATACAAAAACGATGAATGTTTACACTTCCCCGTTATTGTTGCATCCCAAAATTCTTCTACCTCGATTAGCTTCAGTCCAAAGTTTTTATTCGTTCGCATATGAGAAGGGGTGGGGGAGATCCAAGGTGAATAAGCGTCGTAACATTTAAACTTGGCAGTACTCACGAGGGATGAAATTAAATCAAATTGGTGACACATTCATTGCCCCTCATTTCTTATTTATAAATTCACACATTCAACGAAAAAAGATATACATATGCTGTTATTTTATACACAAAATGAACAAGACTAACAAAAAATATATACATATGCTAGCAAATACCAGACTGTCTCTCTTTCAATTCTGTTCATTTTCCAGTCTATCTAGCAATCAAACAAAAGGAACTACTCGGATATATAATCTTCACCTCCAGTATCTTGATCATCAACATCACTGTGGTGCACACCCTTCCCATTCACGCCTAATCTTCCATTTGAAGCTACATAATCCTGCTAATAAGCACAGCATGAGACGTCATTGAGATGGAAAACTTACTATTTTCCTACTTTTTAGGTAGAAGAGTTAACTCTTATTCTGAAAGTAGCTATTACTTATTGTTAAAATAAGCATCTTTGTTCCAACTTTCATCAATAAAAAGGAATTAGTTACTTATAAATAATCGTTTTAAGCTTAACCAACATGCTCATAACTATAATGAACAGCATACAAGAACCCAAATCCAGAGAGGCAACACGTATTACCTCAATATCTTTCAATTCTCTGACAGCTACTTGAGATCTCTTTCTAACCGTCACCCTTTTAGGCACAGGAAAATGTTCGACCTCGTCACCTGATTTTCCTTCTCTTGCCCTCTTTTTTCTTAGAATAAGCTTTGTCGGAAGTGGCTACATGAAATGAAAATAAGTACAAAGAGGCTAATAGCCCATGGACTTCACAAGCTAAAAGTTAGAAACTTACTAAATATTTGGCTTCTGAATCGCCAAATGCGACGAGGTATGTGGTAGGATCATCTACATCATCACCTCGCACCTGTGGAGGCATTATCAAGATATGACCCATGAAGTAAAAGAAACCTGAAAGTTGAAATAAGATGCATTACGTACATCCCAGTGATACTCTCGGATCCATGAATGGGTAATATCTTCATTTTCATCATGCATATCCTTCTTCAGCTGCCACCATTTAACAAATACAGGGTGACCAAACGAACAGAGCAAGAATCGATGTTAAAACAATTTGCATATGTTAAAAACATTTTCATTTAGAATACCTCTCCAACTGATGGCACCATGTATGCCAAAAATTTATCAGGTTTATCTGTACTCGAGCTTGAAGCCATAAAACTTTTCATAATTGCCTGTAAAGTAATGGATAAGTTAAAATAGCAGAGTTTAAATCCTTCACACTCTCTTTGCATGTCAATGCATTTCTGAGCATCCAGAGAAATTAGAAGTTGATGGGAAACCAGGAAGTCACCCTAGGGCTAAAACTACGCCGGCAAAGGCTACGGTGAGTATCAAAATATTTAACTAACAATTATAATACAACTAAAATAGAGTCCACAAAATTGAAACCAAGAAGGTCACAAATGATTCAAAAGACAAAAAACGTAAGGGCAGAAATGCAAAATTGCCACTACACAAATTGATGACAAGCAACACAAAGCATGGTTTACAAAAACCAAAATGAGGCCTTTAACATTGAAGATAATCAATTCCTAAATTCAGAAATAGAAAGCAAAGAACGCTATAGACATCGGAGCTAGAAAATGTTACATTGCAGCAGATTCTACAGTAGACGTTCAAAAGGCTGGCAAAATAGACTTCAATTTTAAAAAGGCATGCTTCAGTTTAAACGGTTTGCACAATATGTTAACAATGTACTATATCATTAAGTATATGATTAGCCCTTACACAACGTTCGTGCTCATCACGATCTGCTGCATTCAGCTTACTGTAGATTTCTGAATCAGCTGTTGGAGCACTGTCAAAACTCGCATATGCGAACTGGTCTTCATACCTGTTGAGCACCCATCAGCACATCAGCTTCAGATGTACAAAACTCATGCAGCATGATCATAGGTGAATGGTGCAGTATATTTCAGGAAAGAAAAAATGAGTGAACATCTCCAGTAAAAGTCCAAATAATTTCACTAGAAAAAGAAAGGCCAAGAAAGTACCCATAGCAAAGAAAATTGAGGAAATTGCAAGGCAAGTAAAGTTCATCAAATTTCAAAAGGAAAATAGTCGAGTAAAACAAAATTCAAATATTATTCAAAACGAACTAATATCATGATCACTTCTTCATTTTCCCCCATGAAGGCTGTGTGCTTTCTCCTCCATCTATGCTCAGATGCACAGGTGCATACTTATATTATAGTGTAGATAGAAATCAACTACTGTACCGCTCAAAATAAGGAATAAGTGGTAAAATCCTTCTAGGCTGTAGTTGGCAGTTGACTGCATGAACAGGCTTTGACTTGCATGCCTTGAATGAAGTCTCAATATTCTGAATTTTCCCTTTCCTAGAGAGAGAAAAAAAGCCAATATCAAAATAAAACCCAATCAATATACATCTTGAAGTTTAGATACAAATCATGACACACAAAAAAAAAAAAAAAAAAAAAAAAAAAAAAAAAAAAAAAAAAAATAAATAAATAAATAAAAAAATAAAATCAAAAAAATCCTAACCTGCTGTTAAGATTATCCAAAATGTTCAGACCGCCTCTTGATTCACGCAATTCCTTTGCTTGTTTTTCGGTTAGAGACTGCATGTAACATCAAAATCATGTTGCGAGCATCGGACAGCATGTCGTAATAATTCAGTGTGAAGAAATAACTAAACAATACCTGCTTTGTTGATTCTGTACTGAGAGGAGATATGTACTGAGTTTTGACTAGCCAAGAAACACCCTTTTCAGTGGGCCTTGCTTTCCGTTTTATGCCATCTTTCTTAATTGGGGTTATAGGAACATCTTCATGCAATATCTCCTCATCCTCAGGATCCATGGATGGTCTTTCACCCTTCGGAGGACTAGTCAAAAAAGCATCAAGAAAGAAATCAGAACAGCCTTACATTTGAATGTTCTGCTAATATCTTTTAGGAAAAGAGCAATAGCGCAAGGGAATGAAGAAACTTACTTATATACACTCAGATCAAGAAGATCAAGAGGTATCCCAAGGTCCGGTTCAACGTATAGCTGAGGTTTGTGATTTTTCTCCAATGATGTAATTGTGTATTTAACGTATCTGCAGGATTAAAATATGAGCTATATGAGAAAAGTTCAAAAAAATAAAAATAAAAAAAATAAAATACTAGTAATCTTATTTTTTCCCCCTTTTCATACATGTTGAATTCTCTCTCTCTATCTCTCTTTTTCTCTTTTTTTTTTTTTTTTCCTTTTGTATATTCAGGCATAAGTTATGATCTCTAATATAAAAGTTGTGAGTTTATTTATTTTTATTTTTATTTTTATTTTTATTTTTTGGTGTATATTCAGGCATAAGTTATGATCTCGAATATAAAAGTGAAAATGAGATATAGAGCTCCAGCAGTTCTCCATTTTTTCCTTTTTGCACAGGAGACCAGAAGCCCAGAACACAGCAGCTGAGAGAAACTTGTACTCTCAATTATGACTAATTAACAATTTACAATTCTACTATACCAAAAGTCAAACAAAATACAAATATCCTGAATGTCTGCCAGATGGAGCAAAACCAGAAATTCAGATTACAAGAGAGGACAGGTTCAACTGTCACGTGAAATCTTTAATGGCTTCCTCATATAAAACCAGAATTCTGTTCTAGAATACACAAAGGATCTAAATGAAAAGCAAGCATTAAATTTGATTTCAATAATCAATACAAATAATCCTCAATTCACTAATTCTTAATTCAGTTATTGCTAGCTATGTTAATTCTCTCTACCGTGTGTCTCATGAAATATAATGGATACAGAAGTAAGGTTTCTTACCGATCCCGGTCTCTTCTTAAAGTCAAAAGCTTCATCTTTGCAGATGGATCTGGTAGTTCATTCCAGAACCTACAAAGAACGCAATAGTGAATGTATACTTTAGAATATATAGAGAAAAATAAAAAAAAATCACCTGTAGTCTGCAGAAAGTATTGATATATATATGTCTTGACCAAATCAACAATTATAACAACTTCATCGAGAAGAAATTATCAAACTGACATCAAAGGTCACGAGAGTTCTAGGTGAGGTTGCTTTTGTATTTACAAGAGGAAACCATTAATTTAGAATAAACTAGGGCATGGATTCATTTGCCTAATTGAAAATCAACTAAGGAAAAAAAAAAGTGTAATTTTCCTAATCAAGAATCAAAACACAAAGTTAACTAACATACTAATGACAAACTCCATAACAGACTAGAATGAAGTTGCACAGTTAATACCAGGGGGCAATCATTAATTTAGAGGGATCCAAGGCTCATACAACCTTCTTGAAAATCAAAAATGAAAAATAAATAAATGAAGTGTATATATTCCAAATCAAATAGTTAAAACACAAAGTTACACATTAACAAACCCATAACAATGCCCATGACAGCTGTAGGTCAGGTTGCATGGTTAGCTGCAGGGAGGAATTATTAAGTAAGAGTGAAACCAAACATGGATGCAGGCATGAAAATCAAATAAGAAAAATAACTAAATAAAAGCTTAGATTCCCAATCATATATTAAAACACAAAACTATAAATTCTCAATCTCACATAAATATCAATAAAGAAATCCCATGCAGATCTGCATTATCAACAAGAAATCCGGTTTTCAGCAACTTTTCTCTCTAGGAAACGGTTGTGGTTTGGGAGGGGAAAAACGATAACTACTATGAAGAATGATGGGTGCATGAAAAAAGTGTGAGTGTGAGAAATTATGAAGCATTGCCCCAAGGTGTCTGAAAAGAAGCGAGAGATGTGTGAAGTGCAAGAGAAAAGAAATGTAATGAGAAGGGTAAGAATATACTTTCACAAAATAATAAAGGGTAGAATAATCTTTTGCCTTCAAAAAAACCACTTCTCTATTACTGCCACTGAATATTTATAATAAATAAGCAAGATTGGACCTAGAACGTAATAAAAAAATCCACTTGAAAAGGAAAAGTGACCAAATGAGAAGTGAGACAGGAGGAGTTATAATCCCCATCTCATTCCACAAACCAAGTGAGCCCTTTCTGGATTCTCACTCTTTTTACATTAGATCTTCACATTACAGCTTATACTAAACTCAAGATGTAAAACTTGGGCTCACTCTAATTCATCTAACACAACATGTGAATGGAAAGACTCCAGGTGTATTCTAATTTTCCGATATTTAAGATTTCTCTGCTGCTAGACTTCTTAAATCCTCCAACAACCAGATATTCCAGCATTATGTTGTTATAATTCGATTTATTAAATCCATTGACAGATATCAATAAAATGATATGCCACCAATTGACCCAACATAAACGTAAAAATGCATAATAAATTTCTGAAATCGAATTCAATTCTATAGCAGGTCAATGTAATAGCTGGCTGGCTGTAAGCAACCTTGCAATTTTGACATGTAAATGCACAAAACACATTAGAGAATGCCAATATGAAGGCAATCCACCTAATTCACAACCAGCAAGTTCTATGCTTAATCACATTAAATGGCAAGATGATAATTTGCAAGTAATAGCATGAAGATTACTAAAACAACGGTACACAGCACCTAATTGCATTATCATCTCATTAGAAGACAAATAAGAGTAAAAGTAACAGAGAAAACCCAATTTGACAGCTTAAACATACTCACTTCATTTTGCAGACAAAAGTTGTCGGCTTCTTCAATCGGTTTTCAATTCTGTTACCGCTTAGTAATGGAGTACTCCTGTCACCCATATGCGATCCGCTAATAGACCCGTGGCCCTTTACCCCAGTGGCCAATATTTGGGTCTTCTGTAGCACTTTAGTTTGAGACTCCTTCAAATGCTGCTTGTGTTTCTCCTCTTGCCTTAGCCTTTCATACTCCCTCTTTTTCCTCAACCTTCTCTCCTCCTCTGTCTCAGCCTTACCTGTTTGCCCATGCCTACTAGATCTTTGAACTGGGCCAGTATGCGGCAAGGGGGGCTTTTGTTTCTGTTTAGATGAAGCTTCCAGATTTCCATGCCCTGATTTCTCACCTGCATGCCTGCTCTTCGTGCTCAATCTCGCAGAAGGCCCAGTAGAAAGGAGTGGTGGCGGGGATGAGGGCTGAGAAGGTGGTGGAGGAGGAAGAGGAGGAGATGAAGGAGGAGGTGGTGGAGGCGGCGGTTGCAATGGTTGAGGCTGATTGAATTGAGAATCCGGGTAATATGTTGGAGGAGCTGGGACCGGTAATGGTGGCATGGACGAGGGTGGTGGTGGTGGAGGATACGAAGAAGATTCTGATGGTGGCGGTGGTGGTGGCTGATACTGAAACGGCTGCTGTTGGGGCGGTGGCGGCACTGGATGGCTGAAATGCTGTTGCGATGATGATCCATATCCTGCATGTTGATAGTTTGAACTCAGATTCATCTGGGCAAAATTCTGATTGTATGCCGAGCCCTCTTTGCCGCTGGAAGTATCCCAATTCTGAGGGTACTGATTGCCGTGTGGTGGTGGTGCCGGGGGCTGAAGAGTAATTTGATTCGGTGGCGCTGTCGGTGGAGGAGCGATTGTTGACTGCGCCGGCGGATGGAACGGCCTGTATGAAGCCATGTGAGATATCACAGTTCTACTCTGTTATACTTCAAACCCGACTGGGATTTGGGGAATAAAATTATTCTCCGAAATCAGAGAAATCATTTACGATTGCAGTGCAAAATTCTAGGTTGGCGAAAAGTTGCAAGTCAAGATTTAGCAGCGGATCAAGAATTCATGTCATTCTGTTGATCTCGAGCAAAGAAGAAATCGAATTGATTTTTGAGGTGAAGATGAACACAATTAAAGAAAAAAATCGAGATGTGCTGCGAGGCTAGGAAAACAAATTGAAAAATTGAGAAGTAAAAGGGGGATTCATTTTGGAACCCAGAGCAAAAGAATTTCTCAATTGGGAAAACTCGGGATCAAAATTGAAACTCGTTCGCAGTTTGGAAAAGGAAAAGAGGGGGGAAAAACTTGCACATGGATGGAAATCGAGTTGAATTGGATTAAAATTTTAGCCCCTGTTTGGCCCCGTTACTTAGAAAAATTAATAGGTAGAATAATATTTTTTTGAAAAATGAGTGATTAAAAAAAAGAAAAAATTTTCGATTTACGTGTAATATTATTTTATGAAAGATTGTATTGTTGAAAATAAGAGAGAGGAAAATGAAATGTAATTTAATGAAAATTAATGGGGCTTAATTACAGTAAATAAAGTCTAATATCTAGTTTAATAGTGGTTGTTGGAATATTGATTTTTTGAAAAATGTATGGTTAAAAAGGAATGAAAAATTTTCGATTTACATGTAATATTATTTTATGAAAAATTGTGTGGTTGAAAACAAGAGAGTGACAAAAAGAATGGTGGCCAAACAGGGGCATAAAATCAAAAGAGTTTTGATTTGTATGTTTTTTTATACTAATCATAAACTAACAAAGCAAATAAATTATTTATTTTATATGTGAATGTTTGTATTGGAATCGTGAATTTCCCTATTACCATTTAATTTAACTTTTAATTCGTAATTTAGTAAATTCATGTATTCAAGATAATTAATAATCCACTTTTATTCAATATTCTTTCCCAAGATATATTAAATATATGTTTAACACGATTTGATCCTATTTCTAGTTCGAATTCATATGAAACATGCATTGATTCAGAAAATTTATCACATATGATAGCACATGCCATAGATATTGTTCCAAACTTCTATTGTCTATGTGTTGATTTTACCACGTTCTAAACTTATTGTGAGTATTCCTACACTACAACAAGTAATTTACTATCTAATTTGTGATCAAACAATTAAATAGTTCAATGAGAATGCAAAACTAATCAAGAAAAATTCATGAAATACTAAATTAATTGTCTTGAAAAAATAAACAGACAATAGGGTTCATCGTTCATCTAATACAATGAAAAACTAGAATAACATATTAATATATAAATTACAAGGAGAATAATAGAAATATCACCGGGATCATAAAAGAATACAAAAGATGTTGATTTCAAGACCCAAGTTGAATTCTTCAAAATCTTGATATAATTGAACTTCAATTCCTTGCTATGACTTAATCTCCTCTCTCAAAATATAGTAATTAACCCCTTATTCTTGATAAATTTGATGAAACTATTGTGTATGAAGAGGCAAGCGAGAAAGCCTTTCATTGCTACCCATATCTTGTATTTATATGATGAAATTATGTTAAAATTCACGTCTAAATTGCATTCCAAAGAGTGTTAATCAAATAAGGAAAGTTGCCTTCCCGCGCGCATGATTTTGTCTCTACACAACTTTCAATATTTTGGTCATAACTTTCTTTTCCGGTGTTTGATTGGGGTGATTCAAAGTACGTTCGAAAGCTAATTCAAAGAGTTACAATTCTTCTATACAAATTTTCCAATTCGATAATTTTCTATTCTAAAAACGGGTCTCAAATTGACTATGGAAGATATCTTATGTGATTGAAAGTTGATTTATGATAATATTCTGATGATATTCCTTTCCTTTTTGACTCCAATTTGCATTCGATTGACTCCTATCAATCTTCAAAGTATCTTTTGGGGGTCAAAATCACCATTGGATAGCTACACTTTGGTCCCTCATACTTTGAATTTGCTTCATTTTAGCCATTTTTCATTTTTTCTTTCAATTCTTCTTTGAAACATGGACTTTTCTTAATAAAGGCAATAAATAACAAATTAGGTACTAGTCCGTTCAAAGAATAACAAAATATCATTATCTAGGATCCCAAATAAGTGTAGAAAACTACACTTATCACATATTATGTATTAAACTTGGAAACCAATGTCTTCTTCAAGTAAGAACCGATCCTAGAATTTATCAAGAAGCAACGTCACCTAGAAATAGCACATTTTGGAAGAAAGATGTAAATAACGAAATTGATTCAATAATGTCAAACACCACTTAATAATTAGTTGATTTACCTCCTGGATCAAAACCTATAAGCTACAAGTGAGTATTTAGGCGGAAATACAATGCAAATGGTACTCTCAATACCATTAAAACTAGGTTAGTGGCCAAAGGGTATCGATAAAAAGAAGAAATATATTACTTTGACACGTCTGTACCAATCGCACAAATAACACCAATTAAGATTATGCTGGCTTTAGCTTCGATCTATAGGTTGCATATACATCAAATGGATGTTAAAACAATATTTCTGAATGGGGATCTAGATGAAAAGATCTATGTAGAACAATCAGAAAGTTTTACTCTACCTGAAAATTAGGATAAAGTATACGAGTTAATAAAATCCTTATATGGAAAGCACAAAAGAAGTGGCAAAAAAAGTTTGGCATAGCAATAATTTCTTTCGAGTTTAAACATAATAGCGTCGATAAATATTTATACTCAAAAGTCTGTGATAATCATGTTTTCCTCATTTTTTTTATATGCGGATGACATGTTTATTGTGAGCAATCAAATGCAAGGTATAAAATAAAAAAAAATAAAAAAAAAGAAGCAAAAGCAAAAATGTTTCTATCTTCCACATTTAAAATGAAAGATCTTGGTCGAGTTGATACCATACTAAATATCAAAATCACCATAACCAATGGGGATTCTATGTTGAGCCAATCACATTTATGTTGAGAATGTGATTAATAAGTTCAAACACTTGAACATTAAACATGCTACTGCTCCATTCGATTCAAGTATAAAACTTGTAAAGAATGGTGGAGGGCTATAGCACAACTCGAGTATGCAAGTGCAATGGGGAGTCTAATGTATGTTGTACAATGTATAAGACCTGACATAACATTTGTATTAGTAAACTTAGCCGATTTACAAGCAACCCAAGTAAAGAACATTGGAAGGCTATCGTAAGGGCTTTTCGTTATTTGAAGAAAATCAAAGATCTAAGTCTACAATATTCTAAATTCCTGCCAATACTAGAAGGATTTACTAATGCTAACTGGATATCTAGTGTTGGTGATAATAAATCAACCTCAAATTGGATATTTACCCTTGGAGGAGGTGCGGTCTCTTGAAAATCCAAGAAACAAAAGTGTATTACTCTCTCAATCATAGAATCCAAAATTGTGGCGTTGGTTAAAAAAAAAAAAAAAAAAAAAAAGGGGAAGGGTTAAAATTTAATGTATAGAATTTCATTAAGTGAAATGAATAATTCTTCCATATCTATCTTGTGTGATAGTCAAACCGCTTTAGTTAAAATATAGAATGAAGTGTAAAATGGTAAGTCTAGACATATAAGTCTAAGTTATGATTACGTGAGGAAATTAATCAAAAATGGAATAATTTCACTCACTTATGTGAAGTCAAATGAGAATTTAGTTGATTCGTTCACTAAATCACTTCAGAGAAAATTAGTGTAAACAACAACTAGTAGGAAGAGGTTAAAACTTAGTAAAAGTGTAATAACAAATCATTTGATAAGTGGATAAATTCAGTACTCATTTATTCTTAACTTTATTCGTGGTTACAAGTGCTGGTTGTCACAAATAGAAGGGCTTTATTATATAACTCTTAACAAAGTTCAAATCGGTAGGTCAAATATCTCTAAATGTGATGAAGATACCACAATAACTTTACCTATATAAACTTAGAGGTGGTGCCCCTAAATAAAGAGTTGGAGTTTATCTTTTAAACATTTACGAATAGGAGAAGCGCAAGGTCATAAGAGCGCCAAGCGAGATTTTATGAAACTTGAAACTCTTGATACTTGTGTGTGATTTCACAAGTATCATCACAAGGAATAATATGTTCAAAGCTTTCATGCTACCTATGATTTCGATGATTACTTTGCAAAATTTATAGTAAGGTTGGATTTAAATTTAAAGATATCCATGCTCTACGTGTAAGTGTCATTAAACTTGAGTTTGTGCTCGTTTTTTATTTGAACAAGTGGGGATTGTTTGATATTGTTCAAATTAACAATGAGTTATTTTAGAAACAATGGAAAGGGTCAATTTTGAGAAAAACAAGCGTAAACAAAACAAAAACAAAAAACAGTGAACGTTGAAAAATGGCCTGGACAACCGCTAGCCTTGTGTTGCAATTACAATGACCATTCTGTTGAACTGGGCAAATGCTTGATTTTTGTGTGTGTGTGTGTGTACACACACACACACAAACTATTTGCCATAAAAAGCCTCCACGCACTTATCTCGATGGCGGCAAATATCATTGCAGGACAATGATTCATAATTGTGTTTAAACGTTTAATTTTGATAAAATTATTTTATTGCTTGTTTGTCCTATTTCTTGTTCTTCATCGACTTTGTACAACACTATCATCCATGGTTGATTAGCTTCCTAACTTGCTCTGATACCATATAAGAAAAAGATACAGCAATATCCATATAAGAATAAGAATAAGGAAACAAACAAGAGTTTTGAAAAGAATTCCTATCATTTTTTTATTGAATGAAAGTAACTATTTGCCATAAAAAGCCTCCACGCACTTATCTCGATGGCGGCAAATATCATTGCAGGACAATAATTCATAATTGTGTTTAAACGTTTAATTTTGATAAAATTATTTTATTGCTTGTTTGTCCTATTTCTTGTTCTTCATCAACTTTGTACAACACTATCATCCATGGTTGATTAGCTTCCTAACTTGCTCTGATACCATATAAGAAAAAGATAAAGCAATATCCATATAAGAATAAGAATAAGGAAACAAACAAGAGTTTTGAAAAGAATTCCTATCATTTTTTTATTGAATGAAAGTTGAAATATAAAGCATTAATAAAAAGGGAAATATATACATGAAATAAAAATAACTAACTACTAACCTAAAGATGTGATGCACATGACTTTTTCTCCTAGTGTACAGCGAGTAGCGAAGCTAACACTCAGTGAGCACGCATGATAGCCCATGGTAGCTCTGTCGGAATTCATTATTAACAAAGTTGTTTGCCCTTTTTTTTAAGGGATCTGTGTTAGACTACTTGATTGGGCCTTAAAAAAAAAATTCTAACATTTGTGTTAAGTTTAATGGACC